TGCAAAAACTATTAAATTCCGACTAATTTAATTAATTTTCTTTTCACCTTAGTCCCTCTATTAATCTAGGGTTGCCACAATGGAATGAATCATTCCATGTTTTACACAGCAGATGCCCTTCAAGCTGCAATGCATCACTGGGAAACATCCAAACACACACATATTTGAGCCTACTCAATTTACCTGTACCGCATGTCTTTGGACTTGTGGAGGAAACCGGAGCACCCGGAGGACACCCACGCGAACACAGGGAGAACATGCAAACTCCACACAGAAATGCCACATGACCTAGCTGAGGCTCGAACCAACGACCTTCTTACTGTGAGGCGAACGTTTTACCTTCTGCGCCACCACATTGCCCGCCATTTAAATTGTTTTTCTAAAAAAAAATTTCTCAGCCTACTATGTTAAAGATAATGAAAAAAAAAATATTTGCCACAAAAAAAGTTACATTGCAGAACTGAGACTTAAAAAAATATACATTTTAGAAAAAAATTTATATGGTACCTGCATGGTGGTGCAGTGTGTAGCATGTTTGCCTCACAGCAAGAAAGTCACTGGTTCGAGCCTCGGCTAGGTCAGTTGGTGTTTCTGTGTGGAGTTTGCATGTTCTCCCCATGTTCGCGTGGGTTTCCTCTGGGTGCTCTGGTTTCCCTGACAAGTCCAAAAACATGTGGTACAGGGGAATTGGGTAGGCTAATTTGTATGTAGTGTATGAGTGTGTGAATGAGTGTGTATGGTTGTTTTCCAGTGATGGCTGGAAGGGCATCAGCTGCATAAAAATATATGCTGAATAAGTTGGTGGTTCCTTCCGCTTTGGCAAACCCTGATTAACAAAGGGACTATGCTGAAAAAAAAAATGAATTAATGAATGTTATCCGCTTGTTAAGTGTGACGTCACGCGAATCGGCTTCAGGGTCCAAGCGCTCTATTCAACTGAATGGGGAGATTCATGAAATGGTAATAATAAACATTTACGAAGCGATTTAATACTTTCGTAAATCACGATCGCAGTTTATATGTCCATGCCTAATATGCGATGTCAGAAAGTGATTAATTTTTTTTGTTTTGTTACATTTTTGGTATTTGTTATGCAGCAAGCGCAGAGATTGTTGTGTACACAATGATTTTATATAAAATTAACTTTAATGTGTGATAGGAATAAAACATGATCATAAACGAATGATTTCTCCACTCAAATGAATGGACTTGGACCCGGAAACAGTATTACATATGTCATCACTTAACAAGCGGATATGGTTTTGCATCTAAACTCTTCAAATGTAACAATTGTTTTTAGTTGTCCTGAAGTTAATGTTTTCTTTAGCTTAATTATCTGGGCTGTTCATTTTTTTTGACAGCAATACATTAAAAGCAGTTGAACGAACTAATGACTCTGGTATTTATTTTTATGTTTTTGTATGTGTGGTGCTGTTGTGTCTGTCTTCAAATACTTGCACCAGTGTTGCTACTACCTGTCTGTTGACTATCTGCTGAACATTTACAGAATAGTAACCATGCTGTCTGTGATGTTGGCTCCTTACAGTCATTCAACAGCATTCCTTAGGTTTTCACTTCATTTTGATGGGCCTAGTGTGACAACAGATGAGCAGATAAATGTAACTTAAAGTAAACTGTCTACTGAAAGTTAGGTTAAATGCAACGAATAGTTAGTTGAACACTTTTGCAAATACATTATAAAATTTGTACCTATCCCTAACTTTAAATTTGTTTAAAGTTAATTTTAAATTATGTTGCGTTGCTATATAGGCATCTGAATGTTTACAGAAGGTCTATTCATAAACTGATTAACAACTACATGCAGACAATGACAACAAAAAAAATCTTTATGGTAAATGTACTGAAAACTTGTTGAAGATTTGTTGCATATCTACTAATACACAGTAATACACTACAACCTAATTTGGTAGCACGTAACTTATCAAAAGTTTAATAAATGTTGAGGATTTGTTGCTTATGTACTGATACTCTGTTAAACATTTGTTGAAGATTTGTTACATATTTACTGATACACTGTTGAACATCTAGAACCTTAATGCTGAGGATTTGTTGCTTATCTACTGATACTTTGTTGAACATCTGTTGAAGATTTGTTACATATCTACTGATACATTGTTGACCATCTAGAACCTATATTGGAAACACAACTTACCAAAAGTTTAATAAATGTTTACATGTTGTAGACATTGTAATGATTGTCTAGAAACATTTAAAAGACAATCTACAGATACTACCCAGATGAGAGTAAACTGATAAGAACTTGAAAAGTAACTTATGGTCAACAGACTATCTAAAGGGGGACCATCAAAATAAAGTGTTACATTCTACCCAGATGAGAGTAAACAGATAAGAACTTGAAAAGTAACTTATGGTCAACAGACTATCTAAAGGGGGACCATCAAAATAAAGTGTTACCAAACAATTTTATAAATCCAAAACTAGTAGTTTTTATGCATATTTAATCACTCAGAATAATTACTGTTGGATAAGTATACGCCTGTAAAATGATTTTTAAAAAGCCCACAGTAACTTGTATTGTTAACTCGGAAATAAAAAGCAAATGTTTTGCCATGTAAGTGTTGATGGATTCGTTTACAGAAACTTTCTTTACGTAAAAGTTAGCATACACACCAATTCGTTTCATGTTTCTTTAAACTAATTAATATAGTTTTCAGTTACTAAACACTGTTACAATCTAACATTGTGTAAAAGGAACAGAAACTTTCATAAGTGTAGCGTTAGCATGTATTAGCTTCAATCGTGTTTCTTTAAAGCAAGTTACATTTCGTATCAAATTGTTTTAAATTAGTAAACAGTTACAACCAATCACTGTGGAAAAAAATTTTAATCACTAAATTTGCTAAATATACAGTACACAAGCAGTAAAAACCTTACCTTTCTTAACGGAATCGACGAGAAAGTTTTGAAAAAACAAACAAACTTCTTTTTCTTCTTGTGATCTTTATGGCGGTTGGCAACCAGCTTTTTTGAGCATTACTGCCACGTCTGGATTGGAGTTTGATCAGGGGTTCACACACGCATGCGTTTAACATCTGCTTTAAAACAAACACTCGGCAAAGAAGCGTGATATCTCGAAAATTAGCGCATTTTGTACCGTTTTCCCCTAGATAATTCATTCATTTATAAATAATATTGTTTTGTTTGCGTCTAAATAATGTGATCATCCACAGAAAATATTCTTATTATTAGGTTGCTGTCGTACCATTGTTATTTTCTCAAATTATCATTTGGAGATAACAGATTAGATTAAAGAAGAGTTGTCATCAGTTAAACCAGCCGAGTCCTTGCCAGAAGCAGCCCGGACTCTACAGACAGACTCGGGCCAGATATGGTTAACAGAAATCAGGCCAGTGCTTTACAGCCGCATCACATATGCATGTGCGCGACTCGGCCCGGAAAACACTCGCCAATGCCGAGTCGGAGGCGCCAGAGGGCAGCTGAGCTTGGGCCGATTACTGCCTGCTATCTGGGAAAACATTAACAAAACAAATAGAGTGGAGGAACTATGACGTCACTTTGTAGGCTAATCGGCTGCTAGCATAAAACTGGTTCCCTCGTGAAAATCCCTATAGGATTTTCCCATAGGCTTTTCGAAGATTGCAAATAATAAGCTCTGTGTTCAATCACAGTTCATTACACTTACACGTTTTGTCCAGCCGGATAATCCTCACATGAAAATACAACTTGGAGCACTTTTGGATCTTATATGCAAACGCAAGAGTTAAAAAGCTAACATTAGACTATAAACAGACTACAGAGCCCTCAGGGCGCTCATCTGTGACGTCAGCCCCACCCTGCTACAGACAACTTATCAAGCTTATTTTCAGAAATAATGTCCATGACAAAGAGTTAGTCTCTCTGTATATTATATTATATTCCACGCTATGTATTATAAACAAATAAATACGCAAAAATACATAGAACTATGTGCCTTTTGGATCGTTTTTACGTGGGAAATACATGTTTTGCTTTGCGGTTGTTCTAAAAGTTTTAAAACTGGGTGTATAAATCTGCCTATATAGTATTTTTATCAGACATAATTAAATAAGTGTATCGCTCTCGCACACAGCCTGCTTACCTTAAGATGACAGAAATGAGGCGTGAGGAGGAACAAGTCTATCAAATGGCTGCAAGTTCCATCATCATGGACACCGAGCAACATTCAATATTCCTTTTGTCACGACGTACAGCGAAAAAAGCAGCCCATACAGTCACATCTGCTATACATTTTATGGAGGAGTGTAAATATTGCAGTTATGACTAAAATGTAAAATGGTTTCAGATGAATAAAAAAGACGGAAAATCACTTGATCACGTTAAAATGACAGTTAATATGTCTGTATTTTTACACATTTATTCACACGTTTGCATTACTGAGGGCAGGAGAGAGACAGGCTGCACTGGTGAGCAGTATCTTCATAATATAGTTTACTTAAAATAAATGATCAACAAATCAATCTGTCTCGACAGCCTTTACATGTGAAGACATTATCTATACACAATCTGAATTCTTAATTAGAAAAACAAAAAAAACTATAAAATACTATTCATGAAAATACCTAAATAACAGACAAATCCAAATGCCCAACACAAGCGAGCTGCGCTTCAGACCAGATCAGCTCGATGACGTATAATGTCTCCGACACCACCTGAAGTCCCATTTAGCAACTTGAGAGCAACAGTCTTTTTAAAGAAGCATGGCCGAATTAAAAATTCAAAAGTGTGCTGTAACTGTTGTGTTTTATGTCGTAGAACAAAACGTGAAAATATCTTGAATTTGTGTTTGCCACAGACCTTATTTAAGCGATTTTACTGAAACCCCATTCAAAAAACCCATTGACTTTGGGACAAGGGAACCGGAAGTGCTAAAATGCTAACTCGCTTCCGGGTTTTTGCATACAAATTGACGTCATAGTTCCTCCACTCTATACATAAACATACAAACAGGACAGGGCAGGCTGGCAAGGATGAGGACTGGAAACACTACAGGACAAGACTTCAAACAACATGTGATTGTAGCAGATCCCAATATGTACATAACCAATAATCACACCGGAAACAGCAGGACAGCTTTGCGTCATCTATTTATTGGTCCCTGAAACACATGTGGGACACTCAATAAGAAACTCTCTCCACGCTTTCCTCTCCTTTCACACACACAATGCAAACACAATTGCAGGAGAAACTTTTACACGTCTTTCCCCGTCAGCGGCTGGACTCCGACTGAGGCTGACTTTATAACACGGTACAATAATACTCACAAAAAACATGTATTTGTTTAAATGAAATAAAAAATAAAGTGAAAATAAGTGGTGTTGCTCTTTACAATTATACTCAAAGTGCTAGATCAAATTTATATTCTCAAAAAAAACAGCAAATAATGTTCTCAAACAATTAGGCTTATTCACTATGCAATATACCATTACATAAAAGCACAATTCAAATTCAAATAGTCAATTATTAATTTTTTAGAACAATTAGAATGATAAAACATCATAAAAAGATTCACACAAAACAGTTTTACATGAAACATACCTGAAACACATGTGGGACACTCAATAAGAAACTCTCTCCACGCTTTCCTCTCCTTTCACACACACTGTGCACAATATTAAACTCGCATAAATCTCAGGTTTATCTCAATATTATAAACTGACTGAATAAAAACGATCCTAAACATATTTTATGCAATATTATATGAACTTCAATTGAACAGACTATATTAAACATACCAATGCAAACACAATTGCAGGAGAAACTTTTACTCGTCTTTCCCCGTCAGCGGCTGGACTCCGACTGAGGCTGACGCAACTCTCCCGCACTCTCCGAGAGCAAAGCGTGCAACACTAATTGCGGTCCCACTTAAACAAGTGTCGAAATAAGGTTCCTACGCCCGGTAGGCATATAATACATAAATGCATAGTTTTTTTTAGTTTTGGGAAGTTCATTCCCGAATATTATCAATAAATTAACATTCCTCTTCCTTACTGGCTACATTCACCCCCCTGAACTTCACAAAACTAGTCTACTATCAGATAATGGATAATGTGATCACTCTCAATTAAAACACTGTATCCTCACGCAACAAAAGTTACCCAACTACTGGGAGAGCGACAGAAGAAAGTTGGCCAGACTCTCAAGTGTATGCCCGCAAAAAAAGAAGTGCCATAAACACTACCTTATAGATACCCAAGTGATCACCACTTAATCCATAATAACGAAAGATTTCACAGGAAGTTCATGAATCTGACTTAAGTAGCTTTTGTCCAGAGAAGGTTTAGAGAAGGGCTGCGCAAGAGGGTTTTCTGCGACATAATTTGGATAAGTCTATTTATTGGTTTTACCAATCTGCCAGCCCGAGTTCTCACTGGGTGACCTGTACTCGAAGGCTGAACAACTCTCACAGGCAAATCATAATCACTTTCCTACACTACTTCTGTATCTGAAAGGTCAGACTCAGAACTCAGAACAGTTTCCTGATCCTCATTTTCCACAAGAACTGACTTGTCGAGGATATTCTCTAGTCCTGTATGAGAATTTGAGTCTCTGATTCTTTCATCAGATGAAGAACTCGATGGGCAAACTGGGGAATGAGCTGGTCCATCATTTCCATCATCAGTATCCTCTGATTCAACAAAAGTAGTATCACTTTCAAACTCATCAGTTTCATGATCAGTGTGAGATTGCTCAGAGTTAGGCTCTTCAATGGGTAGGAAGTTGCTTCTTAAAATCAAGTTCCTTTGAACAACTTTCTCCTGATTAGTTCGAGTATTCCTAATCCGGTATGACATCTCGGGTCCACAGATAACACAACGTGCAGTGTTGAATCCCACCTGTTGGCTAGCTTGCGTCGACCACGTTCTCCTCTGTTGGCGAGTAGCACATAATCACCTTCCTCGATGTCTCTGCCTTTGACTTTTTTGTTGTAGTGCTCGGTCTGCCGTAGCTGACTCGCAGAGTTGTTCACCTGAGCAACCAACATGGCTTCTTTGAGATTATCCACCAATTTCCTCACATACTGATCATAATCTGCAAAGGTATTATCCCGCTCCACACTTTGGAACATTAAATCGACGGGTAACCTCGGAATGCAACCAAACATGAGGTAAAATGGTGCGTAACTAGTTGACTCATGGGCAGTACAGTTGTAGGTGAATGTCAAAGTTTGCAGCATACGTGGGCAGTCCTGTTTGGTTCTCGGGGGTAGCGCTCTAATCATGTTACCCAAAGTGCGATTAAACCGTTCTACTTGGCCGTTGCCCATCGGATGGTATGCTGTCGTTCGCGACTTCTGTACACCAGCAATCTGCAAGAGTTCCTTAATTAATCTGCTCTCAAAATTTGCTCCTTGGTCTGAATGGATTCTTTGTGGAAATCCATAGACACAAAAGAACTTGTCCCATAATTGCCGAGCAACTTGAGATGCAGATTGATTCTTGCACAGGAATGCATTGGCCATTTTAGTAAAGTGGTCTGTTACCACTAGAACGTCTACACTCTTGCCAAAAGAGTTTTCGGCAGACCAAAAGTCTATACAGAATAGTTTTAGCGGCCTGACTGTCCGAATACTTTCTAAAGGGGCCCTTCCTTCTGGTTCAGGGGTTTTGCTAACCACACAGCGTTGGCAATGTCTCACATATTCTCTAATGTCACTCTCTTGGCCAACCCATGAAAATCTCTGTCTAGCTAAAGACAATGTTCTGCCTTGGTGACCGGCCTCATCGTGGATGCCACGCAGAACCTCACTGACCAGAGAAGAAGGGACTAAAAATTGCCCACGAGCAACCTTAAGCCTAGTTCACACTACAGGATTTTAAACATCAACAAATCGCTGTGCCGTTCACACTACATGACTTGACTTTGTGTCTTTTAATCTCTGTGGTGTTCACACTACGCAACACTCTGTGAATGATCCACAAGAAGGGGGTCACACACTACATGATCTGACAACAACTCATTCCCCATCAGCTCATTCAAGCTACCAAACCACAGCCAATGAAATTTAGAGGGAGGAGTCGTTAGAAAAAGCTAAACACTATTGGCTGCTTGTGTGCTGATGACATCACTGACAGCGTTTCAAGCTTTGGAGAAAGCATTTAAAAACATCGTCAAACCAGCTGATTTATCAGCGGATTAATCACTCATCTGCAAGGTTCCAGTGGAGAGATACACAGAGTTTTTAATTTTTGTAATTTTATAACTCTTTGAAATAAAACTAACATATCTATAACACCCTGCCGTTTTCTAACTATCAGTGTATTTCTTTCTGACATTGTTATTTTTTATTACAAAACAGTAAAGAACTGAGCATTTCTGCCTTAAATTACCATATTGGTCAAAATGACTGCATGCATGTCTGATACTTTTCGCTGTGACTTTAAATATGTGTGCATTTTCTTGCCTAGCAACTTCCTGCTAACATAAACAAAACTTTCTGATGGCAAAAACATCAATTTACTTCAGATATCTTTCAAAACAGCAGATTCTGTGCAGTGAAATAGCTCCTGTTTGAAAGTGAAAATGAAAGCCAAGACCTTTAAGTGTTTTAGTATCTTAACTACATATTTATAGGCTGTATTACCAAAACAAATTATATTTTTAGGGTAATGGTGTCATTAAATATGATGCCAGACATTCAAAGCTTAATTTTAATATCTCAATAATAGCTTTGAATGTAAATATGTTGTGACAATATGACGTTTTATATGAGAACGGTCAGAATGAGCAGTATGGTGATTCTAATAGTTACACAATTCTAGTTCCACTGTTAATATAGCCTACTCTCATGTCTGTGTTAACACAGAATGAAGCGAGTGCACCGATGCCCATTCTGACCAGTCACAAATGTTTCTGCTGAGCTCCTGAACACACAGGCATTCAGCTCATGCTGATATGCTCTCTCATTGGCTGCAGCTCGTCACTACATCTAACCACACGTCGGGGTTGAGTCGGCCGACTGCTCTGGAATATTTAGCATGCTGAATGTTGGATTTCGTCTGCGAGGTGTCAGCGACGCGTCAGCGAGCCTCGTTGATGCGTTCTTCAGTAGTTCACACATAAAGAGCGGCGAGCGCAGAGCACCAGCAGATTTCTTCCCGATCACAGCCCGATCTGTCGGCGAGCTCATTAACTTCCAAATCGGGCTCAAATCAGGCTTAAAATCCTCTAGTGTGAACTAGGCATTAGTCACAGGATCCCTGCGGATACGGTAAAGTATGCCATCTAACAACTTTAATCTGTCCCATTGTTTCAGCAGTTTGAGCGCCTTGTAAGGCTCCTTCGCTCTTTCTCTCCGAGATGGTCTTTTTCCTCTGCACACATAAAATAGAACTCTTGAGAGCACGTCGTCACTTGTTTGTTTCTCTCGAAGTTCATCCAGAGAGAATACAGGTAAGGGGTTCTGACCTGCAGGCACAATTATATTCACTTCTTGAGCGAGCCAGGAAAGTGCTCTACCTTCCGCTCCTTTGTCCCAGTTGGTATGAGATTCAAAGACAGCTGAAACTTGATCAGAAGACAAGGAACATTGCTCAGTTGGATGTCCTAAACACTGACTGTTTGCACTGAGTCTAAACGAATCTTGTACTTTTTCTTCTTGTATCATTCCAGACTGCCTCAAGAGATGGTGATAAGGTTCAGTCACGAGTCTGTCACTCACTTGGACGAATGGCTGACGGCTAAGTGCATCGGCAACTACGTTTTTGGGACCAGGTATGTACTGGATGTCAAATGTGTATGGGGCTAGTTTAGCCACCCACCTCTGCTCACACGCATCGAGTTTTGGTTTTGTCAAAATATAAGTCAAGGGATTATTGTCTGTCCAGACTGTGAAAGGGTGTCCCTTGAGCCAATGGCTAAATTTGTCACAAACAGACTATTTTAGTGCCAAAAACTCGAGGCGGTGAGCAGGGTAGTTGGTCTGGGCTCGTGAAAGTGCCTTACTAGCAAATGCGATTGGCCGCGCCTTCGACTCTCCCACAGGGATTTGAGACAACACTGCCCCTATACCATTTAATGAGGCATCTGTTGAGAGAATAAATGGCCGGGAGAAGTCAGGGTGCGCCAGTACTACAGAGTTCAAAAGAGCAGACTTAAGTTGTTCAAATGACAGGGCACATTCTCTAGTCCAGTCTGATGGGCTAAGCTTTCTAAAGACAGCACTACCCCTCGAGTGACCTTTTTTTCCTTTAGTTGCTGCAGTCAGTGTGAAGAGGGGTTTAGCGATGCTGGAACAATTGGGAATGAAGCGTTGATAGTACATAACCATGCCCAGAAATGATTTAATTTTTCTTGGGGAAGGTGAAACTCCATCATCCATCATGAGGTCTTTTTCTGCAACTGTGGTAATAGCAGCAATTTTGTCAGGATCGATTGCAACACCGTGCTCATCCACAATATGGCGAAGAAATCGAACACTCCGTTTAAGAAAGTAGCATTTCTTGGGTGCCAGCTTTAAACCGTGAGCACTCAGCCTCTCAAAGACCATCTCCAATCTCTCCAGTGCCTTTTCTTCACAGGGAGCCATTACCAGAAGATCATCCAGGTAGCATAAGAGGGTAAGAAAGTTTTGAGTGGTAAAAGCTGTGAATTTTTTGTCTTCCTCACACATTGGGATGTTATAGAAGCCGGACGTGAGGTCCATAGCACTAAACAATATATTTCCTCCCAGAGCAGCAAGGCAATCGGCTTGATGAGGATGAGGGTGAGCGTCTTTTGTAGTGCGTGAATTCAGCCAACGGTAATCAACACAAATTCTGAGGTCACCACTTTTCTTCCACACAAGTACTTGAGGAGAGGCCCACTCGCTGTTGGACTTGTGAATGATGTCTCTCTCTTCCATTTCAGATAAAGCATGTCGTAACTTCTGGTAATGCCCTGGTGGCACACGCCGGTATGGCAACCGGAAAGGTCGGCTGTCGGAAAGATGGATACGGTGCACAAAGTCTTTTGCTGTTCCACAATCTAGCTTGTGCTTTGAAAACACATGTTCATATTTTTGGATTAAACACAACAGATTATTTTTACACTGGGCAGACACTTCACAAGAGTCAATATCCAAATCGCTTAATCCCATCTCCAGCAAGGCATCATTCAAATCTGGTTTGAGTGTTTTATCATGCACAGTCTGGCTCTGAATTTTGACAGTTTCAAGGGGACATTTGATATCAGTGTCCAAATCCTCCAATGAAACACAGGGTGAAACGTTGGCCACTTTAGAGTTTCGTTTCAAAGTGATGGGTCTGTCATATGGATTCAACATACGAATTGGGACCCACCGGTCAGCAGTCATAGAAACCACCACACGTCCTACAATGATGTCTTTCTTATGCGTAGGTGACTTGGTAGGTTCAATCAACACAGCGCTGCCTTCTGATATAGGAGCTGTAGGAGGCAGTCTAGCCCAAACCAGATGCTCCTGTTTGGGCAACAGTGTAACAGCCTGAGCCAGTTTTGCAGTTCCAATGACATCAGGCATCTCAGCACCCCTCCATCTGTTGAGGCCAGAAAGGATATTGAGGAATTGCTCGATTTCAGCATCTTGTGTTGATTCAGGCCTATTCATAACACGCCAATAAGTGGGGTTCTGCTTAAGCTGACTCAAGATAAATTTAAGAACGTTGGTGCCCAATATCAACTCATCCCGCTGTCCTTTAACAACCATTGTTGGCACACTGACAACATACTCGTACACTCTGATCGTCAGCTGGTACATACACTTTGGTGAGACCTGAACTCCACTACATCCGACTAGCATGACATTAGCCTGCATCTCACATGGGTCTAGAGATACCCCAGCATCAAGTAGACGAGATTCTGCGAGTTCACTAATGGTACAAGCCATAGAGCCACTGTCTATCAACGCTCGTACAGGAACAGCATCATTGATTAGAACATCAGTGTAGAAAAGGCTGTCTGCATGTGCTAACTTGGTCACATTTTGAAACAAAATCACATCATCACTCTTCATTGACTTGCAAGTTGCCTCATATATGCTAGATGCATCATCTTGGAGGGTCTGAATTTCTTCACCCGCACTATCCCCACCACAGTGCGGGTGTATTAGTTTCCCTGAATCTGGGAGTGGCCTCCGCTCTCAGCACTCCTCCTAGGACAGGACCTGCGCTGATGGCCATTGTCAAGACAATTAAGGCATCTTTTCTCTGACATGCAGTGTGACCGTGTAGAATGAGTTCTCTCACCACAGACACGACATCTAGATGGACGGGACCAAGATGGCGACTGAGATCTATCAGGAGTAGTCTGTACATTAATGCGTTCAAGCACTCTCTCCAGCATGCTCAGTACTCGTTCCAGTGTACCAGTATCAGTCGAAGCAGCGTGTGGGGGTGCTGTGGTGATCTCAGGTTTGACATTCTGATTACTGGAAATGCACGCTGCTGCATTTACTGCAGTGTTTTCCACAGTGGGTGTTTCTGTGTTGCTGACAGTAATATTGGATACTTTAAATGACTAGTCAGATTGAGGGTAAGAGTGCTGCTTCTTTGTTCTCAGCTCTCTTTGATGCTCATCAATCGCTTCTTGCACCTCTGCGAACGACCATTTTGTAGCAGGTTTGTATTTGAACACATTAGAAAGTCCAGTATCAGGACAGTTACAGATAAACATCATTGCAACTTCCTGTGAAATGTTATTCATTTGACTACCCTGTTTCAGCAGGTGCTTTTCAGCGATTTCAGCTGCGTTATTGAGACGGACCCAGTAATCGACAGGGCTTTCTCTGACAAAGGGCAGTGTGGAATAGAAGTCTGCAAGTGGGAGACAAGACTCTGAGCTGTCACTGAAATAACGTAACAGTA